AAGAAAGAAAGAAAGAAAGAAAGAAAGAAAGAAAGAAAGAACAGATGGAGCACAGATCTCATTGATCACAATAAGTGAGCGCTGCTGTGTCACTCCTCTAACTCTATTATCAGTCTCTCTGCATCTGGCTCCAGCTCTCTGCAGATTATCTGCCCTGACATCACAACTTCACGACCCAATGAGAGCTTTTATATCCTCCCAGTGATGTTTCTGTGTGAGGCTCCAAAGGTGAATCCAACAGAGGAAAATACATCGAATCTCTGTCTGGATTCACTCCCACCCAGAAAGTGAGCAAATACACCAGGATATTACTGCAAGACGCACACATACTTCAGAGCGGGAATTCATCTCTAGATTAATAGGTGACCATATACGAGTCATATTTTCTCTCTTGTCAGAGCGAAATCATGCAAAAATAGAACCTTTTGTACACAAATAGACTCTAAAATGTAAGCTTGAGTCAAACAAACACTCTTCAGTAGCCTGTGTTCATTAAGGCTCTAGGGAAATGCAGCATGCTGATACTAAATACATAACATGTTTGTATTAGTGTCTGTTGTGATGTAGATCAGTGAGGGATCCGTGAGCTCACTTTTAATTGAAAGAGATGGAGAGATTGATAGCGAAAGAATGAGAGGGAGAAAAAAAAGTGGTAGGGAGACTGACTGCGCATAAAATCACAGCTTATGAAATCTACAAGTCTGACGTGACAGCTGGGAAACCTTCAAGACAATGTTGATCTTTAGTAAATAATGCTGAGCCAACAGCTGCGTTAAACTGGCACTGATTTGTTTTGAGTAGGTTGTGTACCATCACATGTTTCAGACAAATGCCAACTAGTAGGTTCAAGCGCAACTTCAAAGGAAAGGAGGTGGAAAAGAAAGAAAGAAAGAAAGAAAGAAAGAAAGAAAGAAAGAAAGAAAGAAAGAAAAAGGAAAAATACAGGAAAATGGAAAGTACACAAAAACTCACAGGAACATTTCAAGTAAAAGGAAATAATAGAAAAACTGAGGGGGAAGGCAATGGGAAAAGGGTAAATGGCAGGACGAGGAAGAGAAAAAAGGGAAGGGAAAGCGGGAGAGGAAAAGGACAGAGAAGGAAAAAGGAAGAAAATGAAAAGCAAAAACAAAGAAAAATACACGTAAAGTAAAAGGAAGGAAGGAAAAAAAACAGGGAAAAGGGAAGGGGAACAGAATTAACACTAGGAAGATGAAGAGGAATGGGATGGGAAAGAAGAACAGGAAATGAAAGGAAAAAAGGAAGAAAATCAAAGTAAGGCAAAAGGAAAATCAAAGGAAATAGACAAAGGAAAACAGGTTAAATATCGGGAAAATTATGAATGGGAGTATGAGGAAAGGGAAGGGAAAGAGGAATAGGAAAGAAGGGAAAAGGAAGAAAATAGGAAATGAAACAAAGGAAATGAAAAGTAAAGCAAAAGGAAGTGAAGGAAAACAAGAGGGTTTTCGTGAAGGGAAACAGGAAAGGGAAGGAAAAAGGAAGAAAATCAAAATGCAAAGTAAAAGGAAGTACTGCAAAAAGAAAACAGGTTAAAGAAGGGAAGGATGAATGGGAGGAAGAGGAAAGTTAATGGAAAGAGGAATCAGAAAGAAAAGAAAAAAGATCAAAATTAAAAGTAAAACAAAACGAAAGGAAGGAATTAAAAGTAAAACAAAACGAAAGGTAGGAAGGAAAAAACCAAGGAAATGAAAAGTAAAGTAAAAGGAAGTAAAGGAAAACCAGAGGGGAAAGGGAGGGGGGAAAGGATAAACACTAGGAAGACAAATGGGAAGGGAAGGAGGAAAAGGAAATGGATAGAAGTAAAACAAAACAAAAGGAAAAACAAAGTAAAAGACGTAAAGTAAAAACAGACAGGAAAGAAAAGGAGAAACAACAGGGAACAGGAAGTGGAAAAAGAAAGTAAAGAAGTATCATTGAGGTGGAACTGATGCCATTGTGCTCTGCTTTCTGCTGCAAGCACAAGTCTGGCTTACATCATGATCACATTTTGAATAAATGATGGCAGTGGCTCTGTAATCTAGTAAATAAATGGTCCGAGCTCACGCCACAGCACAGAGGAAAAACAACGCAACATACATGGCCGTTTATCACGGGCTCCAATGCCTGGAGCAACAGGGCCGCTGCCATTAAAACCAAATTGCAGATCAGTGTGCGAGATCGATTCTGCCATTCAGTGGGACACTTTCTCCGCTAACTGTCAATCAATGTCACAGGGCTGACAAAAAACATACAGCTGCACTCCAGCGGACAGTAGTTAGCAACATCCCGAAAAGACAGGGTAAATACCTGTCTGCATTTCAGGGAAATTTATATAATCACTACTTGGGCAACACATCAACTTCCAGAGCAATCAACGACCAATCTCATTCTCATTGTGTGTTTCACTCTCCTTTGAAAGTGTGAAGCTAGAGGCTGAAGACACAGCTGAAGTGTGATGAGATCCACTGGGCTTCTGGAGAACTTGTTCTGTGTCTATATAATGACTCAGCCATCAGGGGAAAAATAGGGAATAAATATGGAGATTTGAGACAACAGTCACACACACAGAGTGATGAAGCACGTTTGGACACTGTTTGAGACCCATGTGCTCTTTAGAAGAAAAAGATGGCTCAGTGTCACACACTTACGCACCAGCGTTAGCTTGTAAATCCCTCTCTGAGGATTCAACATCTATGTGGCACACACTGCGGAGTGTGATATCAATTCGTTTTTTGTTCTTTTTTTTTTTTTTTTAGAAACCCTGCTGTGCCTGTATGTCTAGTAGTGTTAAGAGCCAAGTGTGATAAGAGGAACATATGAAAGCTGAATGTACTTAAATGTCAAAGCATTCAGATGACAAAAGAGACAAGAAGATTAGAGCATGATTACAGGATTAAACTACTGTAAACAACGCAGAGCACATTGAAACTAAACTAAACAACACAGAAAACTGAAACTAAACTAAATAATGAAACACGGCACAATTAAACTACACACGACATAATGAAACCAAACAAAACAACAAAGCAAAGCACAAAGTAACTAAACAACAAAATACAGCCCAATGAATCTAAACGCAAGGAAACTAAACAACAAAATATGGCATAAACTAAATAACAAAACAGAACACAATGAAACTATAAATAACACAATGAAGTGACGTAAACTAAATAACAAAACAGCACAATGAAACTAAACGACAAAATGTGCAATGAAACTAAAAACAACAACAAAACTAAAAAACAACAACAACAGCATAATGAAAATAAACAAAACAACAAAGCACAATGAAACTAAACAATGCAGGGCAATGAAACTAAACTAAACAACATCACAATAAAATGAAACAAAACGAAACAAAAGTAACTAGACAACACAGCACAGCACAGTGAAACTAAACAAAACTAAACCAAACAAAAGAAACAGCACAATTAAACTGAACAAATATAAATAACGGCACAAATATAACTAAACAATGAACCACAACTGAAGTAAACAAAACTAAACCAAACTACCTAAACAAAACAACACAAAGCAGCACAATGAAACTAAACTAAATAACATCACAATAAAACTAAACAAAATGAAACAAAAGTAACTAAACAACACAGTGACACTAAACAAAACTAAACCAAACAAATAAAACGGTACAATTAAACTTAACTGTACTAAAATAAATAAGAGCACAATAAAACTAAACAATGCAGCACAACTGAACTAAACAAAACTAAGCCAATATAAACTAAACACAAAACAGCACAATGAAATTAAGCAATGCAGCACTACGAAACAAAACAAAAAAATAAACCACAATAAAACGAAACTAAATAACAGCACAATAAAATTAAACTAAACTACAAAAAAACAGAATGCAACTAGACAAAACTAAAAAAAAAAAACGAACTAAACTTAATAACAAAGCACAATTAAACTAAATAATAGCACAATAAAACTAAACAGAATGAAACAAAAGTAACTAAACAACACAGCACAATGAGACTTAAAAAATGTAACCAAACATACTAAACTAAATAACAAAGCACAATTAAACTAAACAAGACAAGCACAACAAAACAACAATACATAGCACAATGACTAAACTAAACATGGCACACTAAAACTAAAATCTAAACAAGGCACAATGAAACTAAATCAAACTAACCAACATAAAACAATGAAACTAAACGAAACAATACACATCACAGCAATAAAACACGCCAAACTACAGCAAAACAAAATACAAACACTTTAAAAAATAACACATTTGGATTTTCATTCAACAAGAAGAGTTGCTGTCACAGACAGCCTCATCTACAGAGGACGTGTTTGTTAAACTATTCACTGCATAACTTTGTACAAGTTAAATAAGAGATTAAATGCAGAATCACGTACTGCAGTTCTCCTCGTCTGAATTGTCGCTACAGTCGCTCTGCCCGTCACACCTCCAGTGGTCCGGTATGCAGTTGTTGTCCTTGCAGCGAAATTCATGCGGCCCACATGTCTTTTCATCTGCATACACAAACAAACAAAGCATTAATGAATTTCTTCATTACAATAACTGTGTAAAACAAATCCTGAGCTCTTAGATAAACTAAACTATAACATGTTTTACTTTAGAAACTGTACTTTTTACACCGTATTCAGACTTCAAAACATTTATTAAAATGTTTAACAGAAAACAAGGATTTGGTACAAATTTTTTTTGTTTTGTAAGTTGGTATATTTTACCAACAAATGTTTACTCATGTTTATTTTTTATTACCATACCTGCCTTTTTTTTTTTTTTTTTTTTTTTTTTTTTTTTTTTTTTTTTTTTTTTTTTTTTTTTTTTTTTTTTCTTTTCTTTTTGCTTTTTTTTTTTTTTTTTTTGGGGTTGGTTTTTTTTTTTTTTTTTTTTTTTTTCGATGTTGATTTTGGTAGGCAGACTTTGTCGTGTTCGATCTGAAAGTCCACTGGATCTGGGAACGCAAAGTTTTTGGCTGAACTTGCTCCGGACCAGCGAATCAAACTGTAACTTACATTTAACATTTTTTCCCCCACAACACTTAGTCCCACAAGGCTAAATCAAAGGCACAATGGTGTAAATCACATTTCCTTGCTCTGAAATAATCAACATGCTAATCCGAGCTGATTTGAGTACAGGAAATCAGAAATGCAATTTCCCCTCATCTGAATGTCGGCGACGACTAATCCAACTATCATGAGAGATGATGAGAACATAATGCATGATTAATTGACAATCACAATGCTGTGTTTGAGTCCTAATTCCCCGACTTAAAATGACATTAAGAGAATTCTAATTTAGAAAGAACAAGGCTGGAATATTAAGATTTTCCCTCAAATAGCTTTAGGGCTTGAATCACCTTCAAGTTGGATGAAGAGAGAATTTTGCTCATTAAAACTTGATAGAGGATACGAGTACGTTTTTACACTCAATTTTATATGTTTAAAGGAAGAAAACTTATCTGAATCAAGTCAAAATACTGAAAAATATCCAAATATTTACTAAATTTCAAAGAATTTTAAAGACAAGCAAACAAACGCAGCAGGTGTAATAAATGAATTCTGTCTGTCTGTATGCTTTCAAAGAGCTATGGGCAGCGTTCTCGGCTAATTAACTTTCGCCGACGTGCTGCCAACATGAGGCAGATCATGGTAAATAATTCAAAATAAATAAATTGGATCATGCGGTGATGTGAGAGGCCACATCCAACAAATTAAGAGCGGTGCTCAATGCGTCAGAGCATGGCGGCATGCTGAATCTTTCATGAGAGCGCAATCCAACCATCCATTCTTCTGAAACAACAATAATGTGGATATTTAGTCGTAACTCGGCAAAACACACGAACCAATGCTCAGCCATTCAAACCAGAGCAACCAATGAGAGAATGATTTGTTGAAAACACAATGAAGAAGAAAAAATCATATCGCTCCTCATAACAAAGTACTGCAGTATAATACTCATGAAAAACATTTTGCATCAGAACAATCATAACCTCCCACTTAATACTACCTGCTGACACAATAATAAAAAAAAAGTACATAATACATAATATTTTTCAATGTCTGAAGCCAATGCCAGAAATTAGAGAGAAGAGACTGAAAAAAATAAATAAATACAAAATAATAATAATAAGGATTAGTTGGAATATTTTAATAATTGTTTAAAATATTACGAATATTTCAACTTTTTTTTTTCAAATTACCTTTCAAAACAAACCAACTACAATAACGTAACACAAACTACCTCAGTAATTAAAGAGAAGTGACAGAAAAAGACTGATATTAAATTTTATTTGCATTATATTTTAGTATAAGATACAACTATTTAATTCCATTTATATTTGCTCAAACTTCAAAAAATATGTTGAATAATTGTTAAAATATTAATACAAATATTTGATAATAATAATAGTAATCTTTGTTTTTTAAACTGAGTGGGTCATTTTTAAGTTGACGAACAAAACAAAACAAAAACAAAGCAAAAGCAAAAGCAAAGCAAAGCAAAGCAAAAGCAAAAGCAAAAGCAAAAGCAAAGCAAAGCAAAGCAAAAACAAAGCAAAAGCAAAAGCAAAAGCAAAGCAAAGCAAAAGCAAAAACAAAGCAAAAGCAAAAGCAAAAGCAAAAGCAAAAACAAAGCAAAAGCAAAGCAAAGCAAAGCAAAAGCAAAAGCAAAGCAAAGGCAAAAGCAAAAGCAAAGCAAAAACAAAGCAAAAGCAAAGCAAAAGCAAAGCAAAGCAAAGCAAAAGCAAAAGCAAAGCAAAGGCAAAAGCAAAGCAAAAGCAAAACAAAAGAAAAAGAAAAAGAAAAAGAAAAAGCAAAGCAAAGCAAAAGCAAAGCAAAGCAAAGCAAAGGCAAAAGCAAAGCAAAAGCAAAACAAAAGAAAAAGAAAAAGAAAAAGCAAAGCAAAGCAAAGCAAAGAAAAAGAAAAACAAAAGAAAAAGAAAAAGAAAAAGCAAAGCAAAAGCAAAAGCAAAGCAAAACAAAAGCAAAAGCAAAAGAAAAAGCAAAGCAAAGCAAAGCAAAGAAAAAGAAAAAGAAAAAGAAAAAGAAAAAGAAAAAGAAAAAGAAAAAGAAAAAGAAAAAGAAAAATCAAAGCAAAGCAAAGCAAAACAAAAGCAAAAGCAAAAGCAAAAGAAAAAGCAAAGCAAAGCAAAAGCAAAAGCAAAAGAAAAAGCAAAGCAAAGCAAAAGCAAAAGCAAAGCAAAAGCAAAGCAAAACCCCAGCGTTGTAATCCAGTCCATTGCACTCAGTCTATCCATTTCCATCAAAAGTGTTGGTCCCCTTTTCATCTCAGTCACCCTGTCAATATGCCATATCGATGTCTTCTTTGTATCTTATCCAGCCACTAGTGGATGCGTTTCATCTTAATATCTCTTTAGGAAATGCCCCGTTTCCAAAGAGATGTAAGCAACTTATTGATTTTTTGAAGACGAAGCTCCACTCCGCTGATGGACATTCAGACCGACACTTAGGGAATGTACTCATGGTTAAAAAATCAATACAGTATTATGCTGGATTAATGTGAATATTCCATTATATCCTCTCAATGATGTAAAGTGCAGGAGTGAGTTGTGCATCTAGGGAAATCCAATACATCCTCCAGAAAGAGCAACAATATGGTCCAAATCCAAACACAATTCCAGCACTCAGAGAGAAAGAAACCAACTCATTGAGAACTAAAGCTTTTTCAGACTTTAAGAACATTATAATCCTCACACTTTTGTCAGATATTTAACCAATTATTATTATTATTATTAACTCAAATACAATTATTTATGATAAAAACAAATAAGTAAAAACAGATTCAAATATTATAATATATAAAACATTTATATTTACTCACAATTCCATCAAAAATATATTGAATTGTTATTGAGATAGAAATATATAGTTATAAAACAGTTTAATAATTACTGGCATTTTTGTAAACATTATTATTATTATTATTATTATTATAACTAAGACACAAATGATTTATGATAAAAACAAATCAGTAAAAACAAATTAAAATATTATAACTCATATTATTTATTGAGATTAAAATATTAATTCAATATGTAATTCATATATAAGTAATGAACAGTTTAATAATTATCTACATTATTATCATCAATGAATACAATAATAAACAATGATAATCAAATATATAAATAAACAAACAAACAAACAAACATTTTAATTATAATATTTATAAAACTAAGTGAAATTCTTTAATAGTTATTCACAATTATAAAAAAACGACAACAACAACAAAAAAACATATATAGAAATAGCATAAATAGAAATTTGTATCACACATTGCAATTGCAATAATTGTAATAATTTCTGAGACTTTAAGAACATAGTAAACCACACACATCTGTCTGATACTGGACTAAACATAAAAAAAAAAAATACAATTATTAAAATGCAATTATTTTTTTATTTGTATTATTATATAACTATAATTAAAATAAACAATTTAAAAATAATTAATGACAATAAAAACAAATTAAAATATTGTGATAGTATAATCATTTAAAATGTAAAAACAAACCTAATAAGTCATTTGCTTATATGTTAGAATTTCATGGATTCTAATTTTCTGAATAAATCTGCAACAACCAAAAGAAAATAACAACAACAAATAAATACATAAATAAATAGAATTAAGCCGTGACAGGTCAGGAAAAGTTTAATTCTGCCCTACCAGACAACTTTGCACACAACTTAAAAGTATATTTCCGTGACTAAAAAAGCGTCAGTATGTTTTGAAGAACACTACTGCAGTGGAAGACTTTCTCCAAAGTCCCAAACGACAAAATTATGTCAAACTTCAGCTTACTTCCTTCTTGCAACGCACTAAACTTCCCCAGTAATGAAAGCCAGTGGGTTAGTTGGTCCCTTGGAGAGGTGGACAGTAACTGAGATTCAGTGCTGGACAGAAATGGACTATTTTCTTGAAAATGAAAACTTTTTTTAGTTTTATAATGCTGGACGGATCAAGATAAAGTAAAAAACGATTTACAAGACAATTTGTTACTGCGATGTGACCTAATGTACTTGACAACCATTAAAGCTGCACAGAGAAACATTACCAGCAATAATGTGAGGACATAAAGGACACTCAGAGGAAGTCTTTTTGTTCAAGATGTGAGGGCTTTAAAGTTTAAAGTCAACACTAAACAATCTTGAGCACATCAGCTGTATAATATAAAGTCCTTTTTGTCCCGAAAAGTGCATCGAATACAGAACACGAGCGACCGTTTTCACCACTCAAACTTTGTTCTATATTATCAGATTACGATCCTCCCGTCTGTAACCTTCACTAGATCTAATTCCATAATACTCCTCCAAAAGTACTGGAAAACTTCAGACTAGTTTCTCAATACGATTATCATAAGGAGACAAGTGAGAAGATTAGCTGGAAATGTTTGGGAATAATTTTGGCAAATTATACTTTTGCATATATCATCATTTTTGAGCTAAAACTTCAAATATAAAGATACATTTGAATATCAAATAAACATTTAAACAGTTGCAAACAGTATGACTTAAGGAAACTTTTATTATATTTTTGGTCTTTACAAAACAAACAAAAACAAACAAATAAATAAATAAATATGTATTTTTTTATACTTAAGCAAATATTTTTAAAATTGTATAGTTTGTAATATAATTGTTATATAGTTTCAAAATAAATTTAAACTATATATATATATATAACCTTAGAATGACTCATATTACAAAACTTAAAATGACTCATTATATTACAAAATTTATCCCAAAAAAGTAAATACATTTGAAATACAAGTGATTTTTTTATTGTATAGTTTATAATACAGTTACAATATAAATCAAATGCATTTTTTAAATTATTGATAGTAATTATTAAATTATTAAAAATACTAAATAATAATTATTCAATTATAGTTATTATTATTATTTGTTTATACGTATTAAAGTATCAAATAATGAGCTCAACAACATGCATCACATCAAACTTGATAGTTAAATAAGTGAGAAGTCTCAATTAACAACTTCTGAACAATAATCACTTCCCTGGAATAGTTACACGTCCTCTACAAAGCAAAGCAGCTGCTTTACTTGACGCGCGAAACATTGCTCTGCAAAAACACAGAAAAAGGAGAATCTGCATAATTATAGCACACTAAATCATCCATTTTGGGCCCAATTGGGAAGACTAATCGGTTAGCTGCTCATAAAGCAAACACAACGCAACCTGACAACGCTCGCCCTGAGAAAACTTTAGCGTTCGGGTGAGTGGTTTCCGGCGAAACGTCTTTCAGCACATCCACAAAACCCCAAGATCAGAGTAGGAACTCCCAAGAAGTCGGTTATGAAAGCGAGCAAAAGCTATCTTTATTCATCTGCGTCAGTCCTCTGGGCAAACAGTCGGTGCAAAATTAAAGCAAATGGAATGCAATGCTGTTAATGATTTTCCTCGATTTTTACTTCTATCTTTCTGATTCTCTCTCGGAGAAGACAGACAGCTTCTCTTCTGTGCTCTCCCGTAAGCGTGTACCAGAACTGGGCGTCTTATCAAAGCCCAGCCAGATACTCGACTCTGGGGAGGAGTGAGAAATTAGGCCCCTGCTGTGGCTTCAAATGGAGGATTGAGATCTGAGCGAGAGCATTAACTTCTGCCAGTCTCCTTCTTCTGTACCACCACCTAAACTAAGTCTTGCATTTGGACTAGAATTCAAATCCCTGTAGCACGAAGTAATGATTACTCCAGCCTGATTTCTGAAGGTGACACAAGACGGCTTCTTTGCTTCCTGGTTAGCAAGTCTACCTCGCTTTCTTTTTTCTCATTTCACTCCTTTCTTCTCGCTCTCTGTGTGCTAAATTCCCCTCGAGCAATTCCGTCTGCAGCCGAGGAATGAGAAAACAAAACAAAACTTTGGCCAATATTGACCAGGCTCCTCGCTTGGCACTTTTCTCATCAGCCGATTCAAAGTTCTCAAACATTTTGTTGAATCTGTCTGAGTTTGACCTTTACGAGCCAATAAACACATCATAATGTCATAAAGAAGGAGATTTCATCTATTTCCGACCTCTCTCGCTCTCGTGGTTGTTTTTCCTCTCCTGAAGGGAAAACTAGCTCAGTAGGAACTCTTGCTGCGATTTTTTGAGGAACGATGAAAACTAATGGCGTTCATTGTCGTTGATGACAAATCTGAGAGAGAGAAAAAATTTGACTCTCTTACGGCAATCGGTTTCATCTTCACCGTCTCCGCAGTCATCCTGTCCGTTACACCGCAGGTTTATAGGGATGCACTTTTGCCGGTGAGTGCACTTAAACTGGCCAGACAGGCAGATATACGAGTCTGAAAGCAGATGCAAACAAGGATATCATTGTATGATGCATCATACTGCATTATGCTTGGTCTCCATGTATCTATCCATCAATCTATAATTACCACAGTTGGCTTCATCGGAGTTGTCTCCGCAGTCGTTCTCTCCATCACAGATGAAGGGAGGGAGGGCACACAAACCCGTTCCACACTGGAACCTTCCGGGCTGGCATTTAAACTCCGCTGTAAACAAATGAGAGGACAAATCAGTAAAACAACTAACCAAGAAAGAAAGAAAGAACTAACGCAAGACAGAAAAATAAAGAGTTTTAAAAGTATTAAAAAAAACAAAAAACAACAACAGAAGTAGTAAAACAAAAAACTAATGGAAGAAGAACAGACAAAACAAAAAGGGAAACAGAATGAACAAACAAAAAGAGGAAAGAAGCCAGAAAGAAAACAAATGAAAAACAGACATAAACTCATGGAAAATGACAGAACAAAGAATGAATACATGAACAAGGAAATAACTAAACGGAAGAAAGACAGCCAAATGTATAATAATGTACAAATAACAAAAAAAGACAAACAAAGAAAGAAGGGTTAAAGTCATGAAAGAAAGAAAGAAAGAAAGAAAGAAAGAAAGAAAGAAAGAAAGAAAGAAAGAAAGAAAGAAAGAAAGAAAGAAAGAAAGAAAGAAAGAAAGAAAGAAAGAAAGAAAGAAAGAAAGAAAGAAAGAAAGAAAGAAAGAAAGAAAGAAAGAAAGAAAGAAAGAAAGAAAGAAAGAAAGAAAGAAAGAAAGAAAGAAAGAAA